TTTCATTTTTGATGTTGATATGTCTATGCTGATGTATACATTTTCTAACCACATCCTGCATGGACCTGCAAAAAGGCTAGAGTATTGTTAAATAACAAAAAATAAACATGTTAAGTGCACGCAAGCATACATTATCAAGGTTTGCACATTCTAAAAGAAAATGTAGATAGAAAATGGTTGAATGCCACTACAAGCTGCGTAACCGATTGACAAGCTGGTGAGATCAAAATGGCGTAGCACTTGTTTGACCATTGTTTGCCAGGAAAAAAAAAAGAAGGCACTTATATTCACGCTGCATATAGTCGTAAGCTGGGGGTCCACTACACCCCCCCCCCTTTCTTTTTCTCTCTTGCTGCAAGGGGTTCCTCATTACTTCCACCTGTCTACATTGGGTGGAAACATTAACGACTGATAACAACTGTAATTGAAAACGACACCTGACAGGCGTCGTTTTGACTCGAGTACAAGCGTTGTGTGTAGGTGATCCTGTGGCAATTTGCCAAACATTTCGAATATGTATTCGCAAGAGAGAGATGAAATGTAAGGAAAAGCTGCGCACCATTCTTCACTGCTACACCAACAATCATGATATGACGTCACAGATAAGGAGTAAGGACAAGTGTAACCGCATGAGGGATCACTAATCTTCCCTGCCATCCCTCTCACGTGGTGAGGTGAAGAGGGCTTTCACCAAGTTGGACAAGGTGAGGTGATGGAGTATTGGAATTATAATTTGAAGGAGTGGGAAGTGTCACTCACATTGATAGGCGAAATAGAATGAGGAAGCAAGGATTCACGTGTGATTAGTATGAGCAGGTAACACTCTAATATATATATATATATATATATGGTTGGGTGAAATTCAATGGATCCGGTGGAAAATGCGGTAGAAAAAGAGGTCGACAAACGTGCGAAAACACAAGTTTACTAATGCTTCGGCAGGTACCTGCCTTCGTCGGAGTGAATGTATATATATATATATATATATATATATATATATATATATATATATATATATATATATATATATATATATATATTATATATATATATATATATATATATATATATATATATATATACATATAGAACATTCGTGGGCTCCCCTGACAAAGGCACTAGATATTATGTGGTGAAAAGTGAAAATAAAAGAGTAGCAGTTTGGGCCAATTGATTCATGACGACGTTGCACGCAGTTGCACCCAGTTTGCAAGAAAAGAAAAATTGCACCGCTTACAAATGATATATATTTTGCAGAAGAGTAAAATCTATATCTGAAAAAAAAAATGATACATGTAAGCGTAGTTAGAAGATCCTTGACACGTGAAATCACCTTGAGCATGAGTCTACGCTTGCCTTAGAATCCGGCCAGATAATCTCGCTCAAGCCCTGATAGTGGAACACAAGGAGAACACAAGCTCCCGCGTATGTGTGACCTGTACTTAGCTCCTACAGTGCACTGATGAATAAGGGGCCTGTACACACAATTATGACCATGAATACGAAGGACCTCCTCCTCAACAACGTCGTGCGCACTATTTCGTTGCTCACGCAGGTGGTTGTTGAAGCAGCTGCTGGTTACGGCGCTCGTTTTCGACTATGTCCTTTTTTTCTAGTTTTGAACGCGAATACGAAGTGTTTATTGACACTGGGGTCAGGTGCGCCCAAAAAGCGTGAACGCAGGCGTGAAAAAATAACACATAAAAATTACACAAAATCACAAGTAAGGTCAGTTTGTAGTTGTCTTAGTTCAATTAAACCACACAAAAATCGCATAAGTACGAAGTCTAGTTGCGCACAGAACTAGTGTCGGCTCTAACTAGAGCTAAAATGCGCAACAAGACCAGTGCTAACACAAAATAGAGTTCAACTCTTTAGGGAATTGTTGCCGTACAACGTTACTCATGGGTACAAAGTCCACTCAGACAAAACAGCACTTCGATCACATGTTGCGAGTTTGGGATGGAAATATTTAAATGCGAATCATTTCTTTGCGTACTGCAGGCACTTTGAGCATGCATGCATCTATCTATCTATCTATCTATCTATCTATCTATCTATCTATCTATCTATCTATCTATCTATCTATCTATCTATCTATCTATCTATCTATCTATCTATCTATCTATCTATCTATCTATCTATCTATCTATCTATCTATCTATCTATCTATCTATCTATCTATCTATCTATCTATCTATCTATCTATCTATCTATCTATCTATCTATCTATCTATCTATCTATCTATCTATCCGCCTACGTCCGGGTGCTCTCGAGATCAAAATTAGTATGAGAAAAATTACAACACAGTCACCTTTACATCCGCTGGCATCGCATGACATCGATATCGATTCCCAAAGTATATGTGAGATCTGCCGAATTTTTTCAGTGCACTGGCACCTCTCGAAGTCGCATGCACAGCGAAATCCACTCTTAACCAACTTCAGTTGTAATTGCTTGTTGAAGCTGTTCACAACTATACGTGACGACTGGAAGATGATTGATTGTAAACGCTTCTCGCTTTATCTTTTCATCAAGAGCGTGGCTGCTGTGACCGTAGGACTGGGAAGGGAAAATTTGGAGCACGATAGAGCTCCGCCTTCAAAAGTAGAACGTGATAGCGTAATGAAGGTCCGTGCACATCGCCTTCTGATTTTTCAGTTCTGCTTCAATTCTCGGCACATGCCCCGTAATGAAACTAACGTCTGTGCTCGTAGCATTAGCTGTTTCAATCCTAGAATGCCTACTGCAAGCACGAAGGCCCACGCCATACTTTTTCCTTTGACAAACGAGCAAATGGCCCCCAACGCATCCATAAGTCAGCACGTACCTGCGCATCTGGTCACTTTGTATGTTTTTGCTGCTGGTGATGGTTAAATATGCCTGAGAGCTTTGTAGAGGATCTACCTGTAAACCCCTCGCTTGATGCTTGTGTGATATTATGCTTCTGCTAAGCGACATTACTTATTCGTTAAGAAGAGTCATCAGATTACGGGACATTCTTGAAGTTTTGTTCCGGCTCTCTTTTTTTTTTCGAAAGCAGTTTCGAGCAAAGGCGTCGCTCTGTGGTAGCGCCTGTTTGTAACGCAGAACTGGGCTTATATCACACTCGCACCAAGCTTTTTTTATTAGTATTTTAGTTATTTCCATCTGTCTTGAGGTGTCGCTCAAAGAAAGCGCTGATTTTTCGCTTACAACTAACGACGCCAGTGGCAGCATCAATATTTCTGCGAAATGATCTCTTAATCTCTGTAACGTTGAAATAAATGAGGTGTTAGTAGATTGGAATGACAATTTAAGCGCCAAGTAATACACGTGTTTCTTTTCCTACCGTCTTCAGTTCGTGACATACAAGGCGTTGATTCGTCTCGAATGCTAACATCAGAATCAGCATTACGTCGAACGGCCAGATTCATAGCGACGGGATGGGGTTGTGCCAAACAATTGCGGATAGCTGTCGGCATGCTAAAAGTACAAATGTAGCCTTTCAATCAGCGGGCAATGCACTGGAGGGGAAGGGATATTTTTTAGCGTTGCTGCGACGTTTCTAAAGATCACCGTAGTTTAGCGAGCTCTTTTGTCTGAAGTAAATGTACTGGAATTCACATCTTCTCTCTTTGGTGAGAGAAAGCGGAAAAGTCCTCCTTTTAGGCTTTTTTTAGCATACATAGCACGACGTGCACAGCACAGCTTAGCACGGCATACATAGTACATTCATAAGTCCACTATTGCTAATTTAACTTCCTTATGTTACGTATTGTTGCAGGTGAAAACTTTGCTGATGAAACTACTATTTTCTGCTAATCAATGAACGTGCGAAGTACATGGAAGTCTCGCCAAAATCATAATTTTTTTTCGGGATTGTTGAAACCGACAACAATTTGCCCATGAATTTTAAGACTTAAAGTTTATTATTTTTATAAGGTAGGGTATGACTGGCTGCAGAACAAAAATACATGTTTAGTTACGTGATAATAAAGACGAAGTACTGAAAAAATTCGCAGATGAGCGTATTAACATATGTTCATGCAATATAATATCACTAGTCTGGGAACACAGTTGCGTAAGAGTGACTCACTTTTCAACAGTTCACCATAATTGTCGACTGAAGCGGATCAAATTAGAAAAGTAACGAAATAGATGAAATGGGATTGATCGAGGGCTCTTGTTTTTAGTTACACGCAACTATACGAAGCAGAAGACCAAAAAGGAAGCAAACAGAAAAGGAGAAGGCAGGAAGGTTAACTACAAATACTTCCGATTGGCTAATCTACTCTGGGAGATCATGGAAGGGAGCCAATTGACAAGGAAGCTAAAGAACATACAGGGGACATCACTTGTATTTTATCTGTAATATAGTATCTGACGTAAATCGAAAGGAACATAAGGTAGGCGACTTGCCACCGCAGGGCCGTAGTCAGGGGGGGGGGGGGGGGGAGAGGTAAGGTATGGGGTTTGACTCCTTGAAAATTTTCACTTTGCTTGCGTATACGTACCAGCATGAACATACATAAGGCATGAGAGAATCCCCCTTGCCCCCCCCCCCCCACACACAAATTCTGGCTGCGCCTCGGTGACGCAGGTACATACATAACCTGCAAACTTCGGGTAATGTGTCCGATGCTTTACCAATTGAAATGCTACGGCGATCGGTTTTTATTTAAGTTGGTGTAATCCTGCCAATGTTAGCCAGCGTCACACGCCGCCAGGACTGCGAATGTGAACCACGTTTTTCTTTTTTCTTGCCAGCAAGCGTCACGTAGCTCATCGTTTTATTACAAGCTAGAATCGGAGCAATAAAACCTCGTATGAAGGCATCACGTCTGCTGTAACGATACCCTCGCTATAAGTAAACGAAAGGGGAGGAACCGGTCGACGGCTCGCTCCTCTTGTAAAACACCTGATGAAACTAACATACGATGGAGCCAAGAAAGTATGTCCGTTGGTTTCGTTATATTATAACTAACTAAAGAAACAGCTGCGTATAAATTATGCACACTTTTGAATATACATAAAACCATTTTATTATGAGGGCAGGGGAATAATCAAATGCTAAAACTGCCGAAGATATCATGAGTATCTAGCACATGAATATGAAAAAACTGCATAGCAGAGAGCATGACTTAAAAGCAAACATTAAAATGACCAAGAACAATTAGCAACAATGATGCAATAAACGGTACTACTACACGATGTCGGCAAAAGCATGAAACACGTAGGTCCGCAGCCGGTCATGGCCCTATGCGAAGGCCGGTATTCGTAGAAATTGTTTTTCTGAGGAAAAAAAAAACGGCTGGTAATACCCACCGCCATGATTGCACGTCATTGGCTCCAACTTGATGCCAGCGGTGGCGACGCCAACCAGATGTCCCTGGCTCTTCCACTTTCCTGACGTCGTGTCATTTTGTTTTCGCAAGATCCACAGCTCGATCAGAATGCAGTCGTGCGATCCGGAGCATTGGATTCTCCAACTTCCACGCAAGGAAATCGGCGTACAATTTGCTCAGCATGTCGAATGCAAGTTTGTGCAAGCCTCTCAAAGTTACAGTTGTCATACCGAAGTAAAACGCCCCCAAAGTCCTTTCAAAAAGGGAGTACTGCTTTCGGTCTTCCAACGCCGATACCAGGTGCACAAGAAAAAACACAAAGGCCGTTAGCGTTATCAACATGATTAAGAAAAGCAAGTGGCCAAGCAGCATTCGCTTTACTTGCCAGTTGCTTTGCGAAACCCAATGAAAAAATCTAAGCACATTGCAAGGTTGGGCCTCCATCGGGAAACGCTGACCGCAGAGTTCGCAGTAGTCCACTTTCTGCGCGTTAAGCCATAGTTCGAGGCAAGACACGTGGACGAAGCCCATGGTTCCAGCACAGCTGCAAAGAGACTCGAGCGCTCCTTCTTGGTCACCTCCATGGCAGATACGGCACACGGGTCCGTTGTTCCTATTCTCGCTGGAGCTACCGGTAGGCGTAGCTTGCGAGAAGTTATCCGCGGATTCATCCACGAAGTCACTTAGCAGTGCAGGGATTGACAACGACGGGGCTCTGTCATCTGGGGACCGCGCCACGATGCCGTCACCGCACTTCAGGCTCGCGTTCATGAATTGAAGCTCGTCGTTGATTTCAGATGATACTGAATTCTTGGTACCGGAGGGCAAAGACGAGGGCACGGCGCAGCTCTCGTCTTTCCTGGACACTGAAATATGATTAGAGTTACATCAGTACTACGTGGCATTCGCCATGTTCCTGTGTTAGTAAGAAAAGACTAGCAGTCCAATTGTGTTTACCTGTTTGCAGCGAAGCCCGGTTTGTTTCCTCGCCAGGATTCTTGTGGTGGTCATTGGACATAGTTTTATCCCGTTAATAAAACGTATGTGAAAGCCTTGGCAAAGCAGCTAGCAGTTGTTTTCGTAGTGGTTTCTTCCTTTCCTCTGCCGTACAGTGGGATGTCACCGCGAGTAAAATGGGGTGGGAACCTGTGCCACCTTTTCACGTTGCATGATTAAGAAGTAATCATCACATGTGCCCCGCATATCAGAAATCTTAGGCTGATGTATATCTGAGCGCAAGGAAATATGTCGGCACTTTTCAACTGATACCAACTATCTTATGAATAAAACATAGCGGCGCCAAAAGGAACTGTGATCCTTTATCAGACCGCTTTGCTACCATGTCAGTGCTGCATTTCGGCATGCCATCGTCAGATTTGTGATCGAGTAAGGAGAAAAAGAACAGCAAGATTCCAAGCAGAAAGAAACGCACCACTGCTTCTGCACTGGTGTAATCTAATGCGTGCCCCGCCGTGGCGGTGTAGCGTCTAAGGTACTCGGCTGCTGACCCTCAGGTCGCGGGATCAAATCCCGGCTGCGGCGGCTGCTTTTCCGATTGAGGCGGAGATGTATTACGTCCATGTGCTCAGATTTGGGTGCACGTTAAAGAACCCCAGGTGGTCAAAGTTTCCGGAGCCCTCCACTACGGGGTCTCTCGTAATCATATATTGTGGTTTTGGGACGTTAAACCCCACATATCAATCAATCAATCTTGCAAACGAAACCACCGCAAGGGCAGCAAGACCATGAAATCCAAATCATGACATGCATTTCATGATTTTTATGTCATTACTAGTCAGTTATACTCGTCATGCAGTCATGTTATGCCATACCGATTTTGGTATCGATACCATTATTGAAACGGCCAGGAAAACTAAAAGTTGTAGGTGGATATATATATATATATATATATATATATATATATATATATATATATATATATATATATATATATATATATATATATATATATATATATATATATATATATATATATATATATATATAGATGGATAGACACGCTCAAAGTCCCCGAAGTTCGCTAAGAAATAAAATTAAACACCCTGACCAACATTACATGGTGGTTTTGGGTCGTTAAACCCCACATATCCATCAATGTAATATAATGCATAAGTGCCCGATAACACAACGACTACGCAATCTTACGTCTGGATATCGAATCTATTTCTACTGTATAACTGTGCCATTATTCGAGGCGTTCGAAAAGAATTACATCGCCATTGTACCGCATTATCAACTCTAGAAGCCCTTTTAGCTAAATAATATGCAAGTGATGTGTGTAGATCGTGCGGTTACCCAATGATATGCAAATGTCACTGCAAGTAAAATCTGGTAACATCTGATCACTGATGAGTGGTGAGTGCGAAAACATGAGTGCCAGAGCCAGTAAACCGCGTCACCCTGTGGTGCACCAAATGCACATGCCACGGACGCCTTGCACGACGAAAGACCAGGAAGGGAGAAACAGATAAAATTCAAAGCAAATCTGTGTGACATCCTCTCCTCCTTCACGGCTGCTTTTAACTTCAGAGGTGACGTCACACACGTTTGATCAAGACTTTGGCAGCCCTCACGAGGACGTCCTCACTATCACGTGATAACTTGAGAAGCGCCGTCAATAAATCGAAGAGGGCGAGGCAGCGCGGATGTTCTGAGAGAGGGGAAGCCACTGCGGTAGTCTAGTGGTTAAGGTGTACAACTGCCGACCCGAAGGTAGCGGGGTCGAATCCTAGCTGCGGTGGTCCCACTTCGATGTAGGCAGAGACGCGTGTGCCTAGGTTTAGGGAGTATTGATTTATTGATTTATGTGAGGTTTAGCATCCCAAAGCCACCTTATAGTTATGAGAGACGCCGTAGTTAAGGGCTCCGGAAATTTCGAACCCTTGTGGTTCTTTGACGTACACCCAAATCTGAGCACACGGGCCTACATCTTTCCGCCTTAATCAAAAATCCAGCCACCGCCGTCGGGATTCCATCCCGCGAGCTGCGGGTCAGCAGCCGAGCTTAGCTCCTAGACCACCACGTGGGGCTGTTACAGTGTTGGCGGTAAAGCATTACAATTAACGCCGTTACCAGTAACGCGTTCCATTTTTCTAAAACTTTGTAGCGTGCTCGTTAAAATTTCCTAACTGTAACGGATAACATTTTTAGGCTACGCTTTTTCAATTACGTGCGACGTCACGTTACTCCTTACTTTTTCAAGAGTTGATGGTAACGCGTTACAAGTAATGCCGTTACTGGTGACGCGTTATATTTCCCCGTAACTTTGTAGCGTGCGCGTTCAAATTTCTCCACTGTAACGGACACCGTGCTTAGGCTACATGATTTTGGGAACGGCAGTGTCCCGTTCCTCGTTACTTTTTCACAGTGATGACGGTAATGCGTTACAAGTAACGCCGTTACCGGTAACGCGTTACATTTTTCCGTAACTTTGTAACGTACTCGTTAAAATTTCCAAACTGTAACGGATAACGTACTTAGGCTACACTTTTTCCATAACGTGCGGTGTCGCGTTACTAGTTACTTTTTCACAGTGTTGACGGTAACTCGTTACAAGTAATGCCGTTACTGGTAACGCTTTACATTTTCCGGTAACTTTGTAACGTACTCGTTAACATTTTTTAACTGTAACGGATATACCGTACATAGGCTACACGTTTTCGGTATACCGTGTGGTGTTACGCTACTCGTTACTTTTTCACAGTGTTGGCGGTAACACTTTACAAGTAACACCGTTACCGGTAACGCGTTACATTTTTTCTTAAGTTTGTAACGCACGCATTAAAATTTCCTAACTGTAACGGATACCGTTCTAAGGCAACACGTTTTTGGTAACGTGCGGTGTCACGCTACTCGTTACTTTTTCACAGTGTTGACAGTAACGCGCTACATGTAATGCCGTTACAGGTAGGTAACCGTTATACTTATTGGTAACTTTCTAGCGTACTCGTTACAATTTCGAAACTGTAATAAGTACCATACTTAGGTTACCGCTTTCACGTAACGTGTGGTGTCTCATTACTCGTTACTTTTTCAACTTCTGGGTGAAATTTTCCCAGAGCTCGGCAAGAATTCTTTCGATGCAGCGTCAGACATCTGTTAGCCTGCTAGGTATGGACAAAGAAAAGAATGCGAGGGTGGGGCAGGTTGGACTATCATCTCACAAAGCTTGAAGAAAGCCACGGAATCCACCATGAAAAACAGTACGGATATGCTTTTCGAGGAAGTGAGTATAGCAGATGTATTGCTGGCAACTGGCCTTTCCGTGTCCTGAAAACAGGCTGCACAAAGCGAAAGCACATGGGCCGATTTATTTCTTATCACCTGTTCATTATTACCTCAGTTCATGAGGGAAGAAAACGACTTCGTCGAGGAGGCGCTTAGCCATGACCTCATCTTGAGAGTCGCAAATTAGCATCTTTCGCTTCCTTCCTGAACAATCACTATATAAAAACGACGTCCACATGTTCCAGTGAAAAACGAGTACACTCGCGGTGCACAGCATAAACAACTACAGCATCGGCTTTGACAAGATTTGAGTCTGTGATTTGAAGGCCAACTACTATACAAGCAGCTTTTTTCTAGAACCCTGGCCCACCCAGGGAGAGCCAGTAACTACAACAGCTCTACAGGTGTGCTTCCGATCTAGAGTCTGCTTCATCAGAATTTCAAAAAGAGGGTGAGTGAGACGCGAGATGTCAGATTTTTCTTGCAGAGCAAAAAAAAAAAATTACTCTCTACCTTAATTGCCATCCCTCTGTTTTTGCTAATGCCCAGTAATACCACTGTCACACGAAGACTGCGGCTAACCATGGTTACAGCTATAGCCAGACAGCGTACATACCTGCATTTAGTCTCCTATAATTGTGGTTATCACAAGCGGGTGATTTCAAGAGATTGACACGGACCCAAAAAAGATATTTTGGATATGATTGAGTATTTTATATATTATGCACATACCACCCAGTATCCTAGAAAATTAACTTAGTTTTCTTAGTGCCTAAGAGGCAGAAAAATTGAACATATTCTACTTAGCATGGTCCACGGCCAGTGCATCAAATTGAGCAAGTTCAGCGTCGTAGACTTGGAGCCCAATTTATAAGCGGCTTTTAGTAGGATCCTGGTTCACCCAGAAGACAGCCGGTAACTTGACCGATCTAGAGGTGCGCCACCGATACAGAGCTTGCCTAAACGGAATTTTGCTCATCATGGACAACAGGCATGGCCCCATGGCAGGAATGCGATTGAGGCGCGATACGTCATTTTTATTGCGAAGTAAGAAGTTTCCATTTTCTCTCGCTACTTTAGTTGGCTCGCTTTTTAGCTACCGCCTGTTTTAGCTAAAGCTCACAAATACCACTCTCACACGAGCACTACGGCTCACAACACTTATTTTGGTTAGCCGTAGCCACACTTACAGGCAGCTACACGGCAGACATGCCCCGCCGCGGTAGTCAAGTGGCTACGGTACTCGGCTGCTGACCCGCAGGTCGCGGGTTCGATTCCCGGCTGCGGCGGCTGCATTTCCGATGGAGGCGGAAATGTTGTAGGCCCGTGTACTCAGATTTGGGTGCACGTTAAAGAACCCCAGGTGGTCAAAATTTCCGGAGCCCTCCACTACGGCGTCTCTCATAATCAAATTATGAGAGACGCCGTAGTTCGGCAGCGGTGCTTCGAAGGACGCACACGTTAGGGAAATTCACTTTGTCTTACAGATATCGCAAGACGACTGGTGTGGTTTCCGCAGCATCTTGCAGCGGGAGGTGGGCTTCGTGTGGCCATTGCCGGACATCAAGGACGGTACCAGCCCAAGCGACTAGCGAACCTGCGTGACGGATCTGCGCAGACCCAACGGACACAAACGCCACCAGGGAACCGTCTGTGATATATACCTGCAGCAACTCGTCTATCGCTCAGTTCGGCAGCGGTGCTTCGAAGGACGCACACGTTAGGGAAATTCACTTTGTCTTACAGATATCGCAAGACGACTGGTGTGGTTTCCGCAGCATCTTGCAGCGGGAGGTGGGCTTCGTGTGGCCATTGCCGGACATCAAGGACGGTACCAGCCCAAGCGACTAGCGAACCTGCGTGACGGACCTGCGCAGACCCAACG